AGCACCCCACCCTGCCTGCCTGGCCTAGCTGAAGAGGCCTGACGCGCGCATCCATCTCAGTCTTGGGCCAGGCGCCCTGCAGCCAGGAACCTGATGCTCCCAGTGGCGAGCAGGGCCGGCTCCCAGCACTCTCCTCCATGCCACGAGATCCACAACTTAGCATTTGTTCCCAGAAATGTAATTTTGACTCCTGTATATGAGTTTTTTCACTGAAGTTGCTTTTGCGTGAAGTAACATCTATGCTACGCAATGTCTAGATGCAAACTGGACAGTCACAGGTAAGTGTGACACAGGAACACAGGTCGTGGGTAGGAAACTGGAATAAATCAAAGTCTGTCAGCACCAGAAAGAAGGAAAGACCAAGCCCTGGTGTGGACCTGTGTGAATGTGTCAAAAGGCTCCGGAACATTCCTTGCAAACACCATAAATGAGATGAATGGGAGAGAAATTCAGATTTAAGTGACATTTGTTGAGCACCTTCTATTTCCAGGCTGTTCTTTTGCTTCACTCAATCCTCACAGCAGCCCTGTAAGACAGGGATTATGAGTCCCAGATGAAGGATGGGGAACTCAGAGAGGTAAAAGGACTGGCTCAAGGTCACAGCAGCCCGAAAAGACAGCGATGGGACCTGCAGCACCACACACACCCCCACCACCTCTGGCTCCCACAGAGAGTTCAGTCACGCCGTGCTGTTCCCGACCAGGGGACTGGACACCCACACATCTTCGCCTCCCCCACCCCCTCGGTCCCTTGCCTCCGCCCATCTCCAGGACCAGTGCGTCTCTAGCCCTTACTTCTCACCAACAGGACTCACCTGCCCACCAGGACAGACAAAGTAGGCTGTTCAAATACTATGCAGATACCTTTCAAATGATATGACGAGCCGCCTTCTGTATCAAAGCCTCCAGACTCAGCCCCTGCCTGTCCCTGCCCCAACACACCCATGGACCTGGACACACCTGGGCAACACCAGGCTCGCGTGCACGACCTTGACCTTTCCAGCTGTGATCACACCTCCCTCACCAGTACCTGCTCCTGTTTACTGCATCTATTATTCACGGGGGCGTCATATTACTCTTGCACAGCACTTCTCATGCTTCCTAGCCTATCGTCTGTCCACGTGCACAGCCTCACCTCACTGCCACAGGGTGGCGAGAGGGCAGGATGGCCATCTGACCTGTGAGAAGACCGAGATATGGGAGAAACCAAGCGGATTAGCTCTGCACGGGAACTAGACCTCAGAGGTCCTCCCTGGTAGGCCGGTGTCTTGCCCTTAGACCCCTGAGCACCCTCTCTCTGCCCCAACTTCCTAGAGCTGGGTCTTCACCCACATCTCCGCTCAGAGAGCCCAAAGCCACTGGGTTGCCCACATCCCGACCTCCTTAACGCCAACCTGTCCTTGAACATCCCAAACACAGTAAGTGTTCTGTGCTCACTCAGAGGAAAGGAGAGCTCTTCCCAGAGATGGAGGGCAGGCAGCCTGGGGGCTGGGGCCTCAGCCTTCTCCGTGGAGAGCCCCTCCAGGCAGACTGCTGCCAACGGTCTGGAGGAGGCGCGAGATGACAGGAAGATAAGCATGCAACGCTTCACGTTCTCAGCTGCATTTAATGCCACATGAGATCACCACCTTCTACTTCTCTCCTACCTTCCCCCTGAGTCGTGGCCAAGCCTGAGCTCATCATCCACTCGCCAGCCCGGCATGGCCAGGGGAGGAGGCAGCCACTCGCTCCACCACGTAGAATTCACTCACTTGCTCAACGAGAGCTTCACTCAGTGACACAGAGAGGGGGTAGGCGGAGTCCCAGAGGGACAGGGCCGGCCAGGGAAGAGAGCTTCCCACCAGACCTCAACTCCTCCCCCTGCGTCTCACTCCTCCTCTGATACCCCCTGGATGCTGTACTTCACGAGTGAGTGAGTGAGGACGGATTCCCGAAAGAGAGGCAAGAAGGAGGCAGGGGATGGGCTGGGCTGGGGAAAAGACAAAAAGGAAGTCTGTTCTCCAGTGACTGGCACCTTCTGGCCTGTCAGCCTCCCGTGTGTTCATGGCCCCTGAGCAACTTCAGTCCGCCCCCCCCCCCAAAGAACCTGGCACACCCGTATCGGGAGCTCACGGGCACTGTTTGTTTTAGAATTGAGGGAGATACAAAGAAGAAGGCCAGAGGGAAAATTTTATGAAGAATTTATCAATTAAATAGGATTGAAGCATCTGGAAAGCGTCGGTAGAACATTGAGGGATGAGATTTTCTTGATGATAAAGAGCAAATGATTCCTTGCCAAGTATGGTTGAAGCCACCCCTGCCTTGCAGCAGCTGAGCTCACTGGCGTTGTGGAGACCCCAAATCTAGACTTCCATGGTGTTGTTTTGCACATTATGTGTGGCATAACCGTTGCCTCCCACTGCTGTTCATCTCTGAACCCTGGGGGAGGGGATCCCCTAGGGCCATACAGGGCAATCACCAAAGGCTGTGCCTTCCCTCACAAAGGCCTGTGATCCCAGCTGAATTCACTCCTTCAAGGGTGTAAGACCGTGACCTGGCTCAGACCTGACCTAATCAGGTCAAGAGCTCCCAAAGGAATGAGTGAGAGGTGCCCTGGGAGTGGGGAGTATGGGGTGAGCAGTGGTCAGTGCACACAAGGACACTGCTCCCAGAGGAGACTCTGCAGGCCAGTGATGCCAGTGAACTTTCTGCAGGATGTTCACTCAGACCTGACCTGCCCTGCGTTCCAGATCAGCAGTCACCTCTGTCCCCAGCAGCCCCCAGCCCCTGCCATGTTTGAGGAAGACACCACAGAGAACATGTTCATACCACAGAGACCGTGTTCCATGCTGCCTGGACTTGGGGCCACACTTGAGACGGCTGTGAAAACCCCAAATCTGGTCCACTGCAAGCCCCATGCCCCCACCTTAACTGCGCCTGATTCCATCATCCCTCCCTAGCTGGGCCTCAGGTCTACCCCACTGGTCTGCACTGAGCACCTGTGGGCCTAGCACTGTCCGACCCACCAAGGGAGCAGGCAGATGAAAAGTATGTGATAAATAGCCGAAGCCCACGGCACTAGCAGCTGTTTCTGTGCCAAGCTGACCACCACCACACTGAAGTTACAGGCTTACTTATCCCTGAGATATGTCTCAGTCTCTCTGTGTCTGATAAAGAGTAACTTCCTTGGTAGAAAACCCAAAATTCCAATCTATTCTCAACATCCCATACTTAACATTCAGCTTCACTAGCCATCAGTGAAATCAAAGCCCCAGTGAGATAACGTTACACAGCTCCCAGAATAACACCGAATGCTTGGATCGACAAGCACCATCCAGAATCAGATGCTGTTGGGAGTACAAACTGATATAACCACTTTGGCAAAGTGGTCATGTTCAGGAATGTGTGATATACCCATTTTCTATGTCTTCACAATTCCAATGGGTTTTGAAGAGAAACATACATCAGAATAGTCATTGAAGAACTACTTTAAAATAACCAAAATCTGGAAATGACCCAAACAACATCCATCAGTAGTAAAAGGGCTAAATCAATCATGGGACAGTCCCTTGGTGGAATACTATGCAACGATGAAAATTAATAAACTACAGCCTGCAGGGATGTAGGAACGTAATGTTGAGGAAAAGAAGTCAGACACCAAAGAGCGCGTACTGTGTGACCTCACTGATATGAGGTTCAAAAACTAGACCAAGAGAGTGGGGTACTAACTAGAAGGGGATGTGAGGGTGACTCCTGAGGTCCTGGTCATGTTTTGGTTCTTGATCTGATTACCGGTCCCACACTTGTGTTCTCTTTATAGAAGTTCATTGAGTAATGCCTGTTTCCACATGTCTACTAAATTCAGTGGAAAATTAGAAAAATGTTCCACTTCTGTCCATTTATTCACCCCTACAGCCCTTTCATATTGGGGGTAAAGCTGTTCCATAAAAGAAATTACCACTCATCTGTGAGTGTATATAATAATCCAGTGTTCTTTCATCTCTAAAATGAAGCACATGAGATAATCTCTAAGGAACCTTCCAGCAGTAGACAGTATGATGCTTTGATCCTATTCTTAGAAAAAAACCTCATTAATCAGTAATAAGAAATCCTTCCCAAATTAGTAAAAAGTTAAAAATATGGAGCATTTGTTTAAAGAGGGCAGTATGACTGCTTTCAAGAACTAAGCACGTTACAAATTAAAATATAAATGTCTACTAAATTGAAGTTAATGAAAAAATTACAATATACATTAGCCTCATCGTACTTAATACAGCTTGAATTATATTAAAATTCTGCATCTTGCCCATGTTACATCCTTATTTCAACCATTTTAATCAAGAGGAGTCATGATTGCCAAATTGCTACATCTGCCGTATTACTGGTGACAGAATTAGAGTATCTAATGGTATGACAGACTCAGGCATGATCGCTCCGAGCCCCGGCCAGCTCTTCTAGCCCCGTAGATGAAGTCTCCATCCCATACCTGAAATGCTGAGCCTGGGGACACTGCCCTCCTCGAGGACAGTCCCCTGGATAAGGCTGCCTTCTAGTGGGGCTGACGCGCAGATTACTTGGGAGACTTAAGATGCCCTAGGGAGCTCGGCAGCACCCATGATGGCAGCCAACTCTTGCAGGCGGCAGGAGGGAATTCTAGGCGCCATCATAAATAAAGCCTCTGCTCAGTGGCTAATCTCAAGGCGCCTCACAAACCTACAAAGAGTTGACGAAGGCTCACTGCAGCCTCCACTGCTCATGACCTGGAGGGCCTCCCATGCCAACTGGCTGTGGAATCCAGCCTTGGGCTCGGTACCTGCTCTGAACGGGGGAAAGTGAGTGCCAGGCCCCTTGCCCTGCGTTTCAGTACAACTGACTCATTCATACTGCAAACGCTTCTGTGTCCTCCCCGGCAAGGGAGCAGGTGGTGGGGCGGGGGGTAGTGGCCAAAGGAAATAAGGACACCACAATGCATGTTCAAGGCCCAACGGGTGTCCTAGGCAGCAGCATCTCCTAACAACTTACCGAAAATTAAATGAAGGAATCTTGATTCCCTGCAAACTGCCCCTTGACAGCTCTCCTCTCCCCCTGCAACAGAAGAAGTGAGAAACAGGATAAGTATTTGGCTTGGGAGAGTTAACTTGCAAGGTCCAGCTCCTTTGCTAAGATCTAAATGCACCAAAGACTTTCATTCCATCAGGAAAAAAAGGCAGCTGAGTTCGGTCTCCCATCCCCCAGCTCTGGGACTGGGAGCAAGTGACTTCCCCTCCTCCAGGCTCTACCACCTGTCTCTGGACCAAATACAGATCACAAAGAGGCATTTCCTGAGCTCTGCAAGCTTGCTGACCCTGGAGGTTAATCCTACCCCCTCCATGGCCAGCCATAAGCCTCTCCCTCCCAAGGGAACCGCAGAATCCTAGAATATCAGGGCCATAACGGACCTGAAAAACATTAAGTTCAAGGTTGTGTGATGTCCAGGGATTATTACAACATCACAAAGTAGAATACGTAGACCAGGATTCAAAGGTCCGATGCCCTTTTTGCTATGGGCAAGGTAAAGCCCACCTGACACCCTAATGCCCACCCTGGTCCTTTGGCAGTACCGACATGGAGCCTATACTGAGAAGGGCTGAGTCGGATGTGGAGGAAAATAGTGCCAGACCAGTTAGCAATGGCTTCTTCAAGCGAATGAGAAGAATTCTGCTGCTATCATCCTGCCCCACTGCAGTGGGCCACACTGACTCCAGGGTGAGCCTACTGCATCGCCCTATCCAGAAGTCTCTGGGTATCGTTCTTCAAGCTGGGGTGTGTGAAGTGGGGTCAGGGAGTGGCAAGCCCTGCGGGGAAGAAATGAGTCCAGAGTGAAAGAGACCACAGTGAGTTGGGCACAAAATCCAGAAGTCTACTTTTGCTTCAAATCAACTATCACTCAATGAGTGCCCATGAGTGCCCACTGTTCATTTATAGGACAAACATGCATCAAATGCCCACAGTGTGTGACGTTCAATGTGGCCAAAATTCCTGAGCTCCTTCATACCCCTACTACTAACCAGAAACAAGCGGCCTTCCATTCTGCTCTGAAGATCTTGTGTCTGTAAACAGAAGTAAAAACATCTCCTGAGGGCGCTCCCTGGTAGCACAACGGGTTAAAGTGCAGCACTATGAAGCCGTCCGCAGCCGCTGCAGCACAAGTTAGATCCCCAGCCAGGGAGCCGACCCACATAGCCCAGGAAACCTCTCTTGTCTTGCCCGCCCACTGCTCCCCTCAGCAGTATGTTTCAGTAGATCCGCCTGTTCTGCTCCCCACTCTGTCTCTGGTGAATGAATCCTCTCACCCCCTGCACCTCTGGCCTGTACCCCAGATCTGCACACATAAGTAAAAAAAATCCTTAAGGTAAATTCTCAAGATTCCTGAGACTCAAAAGTGAAAACCCACATGAAAGCACATTTGCAAAGGGAAAGCCCCACATAAGCAGAGTCCCGGATGCTCTCAGTAGGTACTGGGCACCCACCAAGCACCCTAGCCGCGATCCTCTGTATGAAAGAGAGGCCCTCGCAGCCTGGCATTCTAGGGGTCCCTCTCTCCTCTAACCCACACTCAGTATGACCATCCAGGTCAGGACTTTGAGGAGGGGGCACCTGCAAAGAGCAGAGAGAGGAGAAGAGCTGCCTAGTCAGTCAGGAGAAACCTGACCACGCCATTAGTGAACAGAAGGTGAGTCTCTGACACCCACAGGGAGCAACTCACACCAGAGATGGTTTTGTATCCTCCTGGGCAGAGCAAGGGATTACCACTGATGTGTTATCTGCTCCAATTCTTCCTGCCAGGAGTCAAGTATAATACCTCAGTAATGCGGTTGCCTTAATGCTCCCTACACAGAGATATGGAAATTACATACAGTGGCTAGGGAACACCACACACAGACATCTGTCTCTCACAGACACTTCCTACTCCAGGATGTGAAGCCCAGGAAAATCCTCTGGGCAGCAAAAAGCTGTACACAAAGCCCTAATCTGGGCTGGGAGAGGAAGGAGGGTTGGAGCAGGGGCCCAACCAGCGATCTGTGACCCAGGAACTACAACTAAGCAAGCTTTGCAAATATCTGCAGTGGAGGAAAGGAGAGAAGAAGTGCAGTGAGATACAAAATGAGAAAACACGGCGCCTACTCCATGCACTGCAGGGTTAGACATAAGCACATGCCACAGGCAGCGTGTAGGGACAGCCAAAACAGAGGCAGAGGTGCAATGAAGACTAAAAAGAGAAGAGATAGGGCCCTCCCTGGTGCAGCGGGTTAAAGCGCAGCACTCAGAACCTAAGACCACTGCCGCATGAGTTCGATCCCCGCCCCGGAGGTGACCCCCATGCCGCGGCAGACCTCTCCTGACCCGCCCGCTGCTCCCCTCAGCAGTGTACTTCGTCCATCTGCCTGTTCTGCTCCCCACTCTGTCTGTGGTGAGTCCTCTCACCGCCCCTGCACCTCTGGCCTGTACCCCAGTTCCGTATGCATAAAATAAATAAATCTTTTTTTTAATTTTTTTAAAAGATAGAGAAGAGATCTTCATATTTAATTCTGGGGACAAGCAAGGGGCAAGACTTTCTGGACAAGATATTTAAGCTGGACCTTGAACAGCTGACAGGCTTTGGAAGACAAAGGGTGATGGGGAATGAGGTGACAGAAACAATTTGAGCTCCAAGTGAGAAAGCATTTGTTTGTCCATTCATTTGCTGACTATTTAGATGGCACCAGGCAGCATCTATGTTCAGGAGATATGGAAGTGAATAGGACATGCAGGCAGGGGCGTGGTCTGCACCGACAGAGCCCGGGACCAAGGAAGAGGATGCCTAGACAAGAATGGGGGAGAGGTTCACCAATGACTAGCAAGGCCCTTCCTGCCCACACTGTCAACAGCGGCAGGAAGAAGGAGGCCGGTGTCCTGAGGCCGCCACTACCTTTCCACTGGTGCTCCACCCAGCATGTTCCCAGAGCCCTGGCATCTACTTTGGCTCTCACATGGGGAAGATGCTGCTTTGACCCGTGGCCCAAGAGACTAAGGGAGAGAAGGGGGACACGTACCCTAGAGCCTGGTATAGCCATAACTTGTCTCACTAACTTCCCTAAGTCCCCCTGGGGGACCTATTCACACTCTCTGAAAAAGTACTGATGAAAAAGAAAATGCTCCTCTCATCTGAAAGCACAGCTGGATTAAGGAGTCAAAAAGTTGAAAACGCCCTTTTTCCTTGAACATCTATCACCCTGGTCTGGGTTGTCATTATCATCTCCTCCCCTATCCAATCAAGGGCCCCATCAACTCGACTGTGGGGCCCTCAAATACCTCCCCAGGTGGAAGGAGAGTTGGGTCCCATGAGCCAGGGCCCCTCGCTGTGATGAAAATGCACATCCTCTTGTTCTGGCCCTCACCATCATGAGAAGCAACTATTTAGCAACCACCTGCACACAACACCATTCTGGAAGATGTGAAGAACAAGTTAAGCCAGAACAGAATTATAAAGCCTCAACACACACAGAAAAATCTGTCAGGCTGGGCTAGGGAACTGTGTATTGGTGCTGCTGAAGGAGGAACGGAAAGGCAACAAGAACATTTCCCCCGAGCCAGACTCCACACTAGTTGTTTACCATTCTTCCTTCTCAGGCGGTGGCTTCTTCAAGTCACCTTCCATAATCCCACTCATTTCAAAAAATGCCAGTGGACATCCACACACATAAAATGAACTTTGACCCTTACTTCACACAAAACTTACTTCCAAATGGACCATGGGCCTAAATGTAAAAATTAAAACTACAGAACTGTTAGAAGAAAAAATAGGAGTAAATGTTTGTCGAGGTTTCTTAGATTTGACACCAAAAGTCTAAGTAATAAAAGTTAAATAAACTGGACTTCATTAAAATGAAAAATTTTACGATGCAAAAGCAAATGAAAAAAAAAAGCATAGAATATGAGAAAATATTTGCAGATCATGTATCTGATGAGGGGATTATATGTAGGACATATAAAGACCTCTTACAACTCAATAATTAAAAGATAACTCAATGGAAAAACAGGGAAAACATGTGAATAGATATTTCTCCAAAGAAGATAAACAAAAGGCAAATAATACATGAACAGATGCTCAAGATTATCAACCATCAAAGAAATGCAAATTAAAACTACAATGAGATACCATTTCATACCCACTAGAATGGCTGCCAAAAAAGCAAACAATAACAAGTGTTGGCATGGGTGTGAGAAATTTAATCCTCTATACATTGCCAGTGGAAATGGAAAATGGTGCAGCCACTTTGGAAAACAGTTTAGTGGCTCCTCAAAAAGTTAAACAGAATTACCGCATGAACCTGGCAATTCCCCTCCTAAATATATATCCAAGAGAAAACAGCATCCGTGCAAAACCTTTCATACAAATGTTCGTTGCAACATCATTAAAAATAGCCAAAATTTAAAACAACCCAAATGTCCATCAAGTGACAAATGAACAAATAAAATGTGGCACACCCATACAATCCCAAGTATTTAGCAAACAAAATGAATGACTACTAATCTATGCTACATGAAACTTCAACACAGTTTGCTAAGCAAAGACCAGTCACCAAAGACCTCATGCTGTATGAGACCTAAGAAATGTCCAGAATACACAAGTCCATGGAAACAAAACATTGATCGGTGTTGCCCAGGCTGGAAGTGGAGTGAGGACTGGAGGAGAAATGGAAAACAACTGTTAATTGGTTTGGGTATCTTTGGGGATGATGAGATGTGCAAAACACTGTCTGTAGTGGTGGTTATACAAGATGACGAACACACCAAAGCAGTGGGTGCATCCGGGACCTCGGTGGCCGAGCTGAATACCAGAGCTTGGAAGGCTTAAACCACAGAAATGCACTGTTTCATGAGTCTGGAGCTACAAACTCAAGGTCAAGGTGTCGGCAGGACTGGTTCCATCTGGAGGAACCTCTCCTTGGCTTATAGATGTGTCCTCACTTGGTCCTTTGTCTGCATGTCTGTGCCCTAATCTCCTCTTCTTAAGGAATACCAGTCACACTGGACTAGGGTCCATCCCAATGAACTCAATTACC